AACATTTGCCGAAAATAACGGGATTTTAATTAGTAAATGGTTCGTTTCGCTAATTATAGATAATTGTTTTATGAAGTTTTATACACGACTGAAAGGTAAAAATACTGCTCAAGTTTCGTCCGTTAGTTGTGATTATTGTACCTGTAAGACCCTTGTTTCGCCGCGTGATTGCAGATTTCCGATTATCTGTAATTAGCGAAACTGACCGTTTACTAATTAAAATCCCGTTGTTTTCGGCAAATGTTTTAGGGTGTTAAATACACGACTGAAAGGTAAATATATTGATAAAATTGTGAAAAAAGTTTCTTATTGATGTCATGGATTATAGAAAAGATTATGTAGATTAGATTTATTTCCTGTATTTACTTTAAGTTTAAAAGTTTCTTTTTTTTGTACTTTCTTTAAGTTTTAAATTGTCTGTTTCTTTTTTTCATTTATATAGTATGTGCTTTTTCCAATAATTTTATTGCAGCTCCTAATTACTAATTAGCGAGCAACAAATAAATAAATAAAAATACTGGTCAAGTTTCGTCTCCGGCGGTGGTTTATTGCTTAAATATTATTTTCAGCAAATATTTTGTAAATATTGTGCGTATAAAACCCATTTTCACTGAATACAGTTTAATATTATGTGTGTTATCCCGTTTCGTTTCTTTGATTACAATAAGCCTACTCCGTATGCTCGTGTTGGAAGTGGCGGGTAAGTTCCGGTGGGCGTTTGCGGTCTGGTCGGGGCTATGGGTCCGCCAATTCGGGGCCTAGGGCGGTGTAGTAAGTAAGTAATGCCTTTATTGAAATCTTATCCTGTTCAGGATCTGGATTTTTAAAATACAATAAAGTTTCAAATACATATAGAATGGCAAGACGAAAAATACAAATGAAGACATAGTGAAAACATAAAAAAATCAAATAAAAACGGAGAACAAGAAATGGTTAGAAAAAACAAAACAGAAAAGGTATCTTAATAAGTTATATTAATTATAAAGCAGCTGGTATTTTTTGTTTATGAGTGTCATTTCTTAAATTGAAGCACGATACCAAATGTGGGCGAGTATAGGGATAGTTGGTACAAGATGATGCTTACAGTATGATGGTTAACACACAACTGGTTTATTCAGAAAGACACTAAGCTATTAAATATACAGTACACATGCAGGATGTAGTAATTAAAGTCAAACATGATCCAGATGTCAGGCGACAGTTTAGCTTTGTATTTGATCTAGCTATTAAACTTGGTATATGGGTTGTTACGTAATCGTAACGTAGACATCATGTCTGTTCCCGACAGTATCCAACATATGGTCCATGTTTGTAATATTAAATATTTTTTTAGCGTGGGACACCCAATTTTTTTATCCCCTTTGAGTCCATATCTTTACCTAGTCTGAAGGCCTCAT